TAAAAGGAGTTATGATGAAAGCAAACTTCTCAATGAAGCAATACATATCATTGTAGATTCTTAACCTCAGTTATTCACCAAAAGTTTGCAGGTATTTCTTTCACAGAAAATGCCATCTAACTTGGAAAACTGTCTTTAAATCAAAACTGTAATAATGTAATTATACTAAAAAAGGAGAGCCATAGATTTTCAGAAACGCAAAGTCATACAGAACATGCAGCTTGACCTCATGAACAGCACAGTTCATAAAATGTTTTCCCAGTGATTCTTTCCTCAAACCGTAACTCTTTCTGGTACTAAAACATGGTTTTCAGAGACACATCGAAATCTGATGGAAAGCAACAAGGAACCCTTTGAAATCTTATGCAAATTAATCTACAGTTGATCACTCTCACTTTTACAAACTGTCATATTTCTCACCCTCCTGCATCCAGCTAACAGTGTTACATGTCCAACACACTTTGCTCAGCTGTAGAATCCCCTGATACCTGGACTCCAGCACATGAGCTACAGAGACCCAGTTCCTTATAATTCACTTCCAGGAATCATCAGATTCTTCCTAAACTCTTTTCAGTTGTAAAGATTGCTTTAAGCTTTGAATACTAGATTTTGCACCAGTGCTGAATACATGGATGTCATGACTTTCCATGTGCTCAGCGTCCTCCAGTTGCAGCCAGGAGTTCTGGAGCTCTTGGATCCTCCTCGAAGCACCACATGCTCAAGTACACTCCTTTAAATGCAGAGACCTTTCAGGTTGTTTTCAGAATTACTGCTTTCCAAAATACAACCCTTCTAGCCTGCCTTTGTTTCTTGCTGTCATTAAATTCTATGAAAACTAGCATTCAGTAGGGTAGTGGTAAACAACCTAATGGGCAATACTTTCTTTACAGGAAAGAAACAAATACCTCAACCTGTGGTAATTGCATTATACAAACAGGCTTATTCAATCAAAACGTTCAAAATGACAGTCACTCTGCCCAACTTCTACTAAGCAAAAATTCAGACACACAAGCCAAACAAAAAAATCTACCCAGCATACTCAAGATTTAGCTATATTTCTGAATTTAAAATAAAAGAAACTTATTGCCAGTTAATGCAAGCTAGCTACATTATAGTACATAATCTGCATGTACCACTGGCACTCAGTTCAGATCACAAGTTTAAAAATTAAAGTATCAGCTTACCTCTTCAGTGCAACAGGTATTGCACAAGAAATAATAAAAAATAGCAAAAAATATATTGTGTAATGTGTTGAAACTAACAGTATAAAATGGCAGTGATTATTATACATTAAAACACATACATAACATATATATGTGGATGTATGTACAAGAAATGCAGTACATTTTCTCAGCCTTCTCACTACTAACACACACCTGGGTTACTTTTTCCTTGCTCTTCTCCTTTCAAAGTAAAAACTTTACCTTTTATTTAGGTTTTAAATGACTGGGGGAACAATCACATGGATACAAGCTCTCTGCAACAGACCTCAATTATCAAGTGACTTACAATACTATTGCCAGAATTAGCAGCATATGGCTCCATGGGAACTCAAAAGGTCAACTACAATGTACCCAGTGCCAGCTTAGTTTTGCCTGTGTCACTGCTGGCAAACATCTCCCTGTGCTGCTCCTAAAGACCTCTGGTGGAGAGTGGCAACGAGTTGCTGGGGAAAAGCAACGTCTTTACCACCACAGCTGTTTCTGCATCGAACATTTGCTCACAGCTGATGCTTTTCAACTATACCAAGATAAGATGACTGAAGTACACACCCACAGTGTCATAAAAATGCATGCCTGACAATCTGGTGGCCACACGTATTGCAATGTTTTCATGTACTTGCATGTATTGCCACTCGGAAAATATGTAGTAGCCCATAAAAGAGAGTACACTACATTTACATGCTTTAATGAGATTTTATAATGCAGTCAGTTTCACAAAGAAAATAATAAAAATGTATTTGGGATTTATTCTCATAGTGTTATAGCAACACCCAGGGATAATAATCGTAATGTTTTCTGCTTTTCTACATTTTTAGCTTACATTTTTTTCTGTAATGATCTATTTGTTATGACATACAGTATGTGTGACAGATGTCCAATGCTGGCTGCTAAAAAGTAGCAGAGCCCTGTAGGGAAGCAGCAAAAACTTGTGCGTCAGCACTGAAAATGATGGAAGATTGATAATTACTGCTTGTGTCTGAGCTCCATTCAGCAGACTAGCATGCCCAAATTGTAATTTGGCCACAGCTCCACTCTTCTATTTACAATGTATTGGAATGAAAATTTCCAATTTCAAATAATTGATCATTACAACTACATGTGATACAAGGAGTAGATTACAATAGCCAAAGTGCACACTTTTAAAGGCAAATTCAAGATAACTGGAAATTCTGAAGGGAAATAAGTGATGTACTGCAGTCTTGTTTACCTCTGAGGAATCTGTAAAGCCACTTACAACCCTGCACAGTGAAGAACTACTAAAGTATAAACCCAGTGCTGGCATCTAGATCTACTCATGAATTTTCAATCAGAGTATTTTTCTTAAAAACAAACACAAAAATTAAATCCAGAATCAAAACCAAAACAAATAAAAAACCCCAAAACCAAACGCCAAAACAACAACAACAAAAACCTGAAAAAAGAGAACAAAACCAAAAAACCCACTTTAGTTCACAACAGACTTCACAATTTAAAGAAAATCTGATTTTTGCAGAAAAAAAAATTCTCTGATTCCAAGGAAGTAAGGTTTCCTGCCTTAAATACTTCCATTAATTCTACTTTCTACAGGAAGAGAATGAAATAAAGAAGACGCATAGACAGAAACCTGCAAATTGTGTCAAAGCTACTAGACTTGGGGAGAACAGGAAACGTGCCTCAGCTTTCCACATGTTCTGTGGTCCTCACTGACCCCAGAGGTGCTGTGCAGAGCTGAGCTGCTCAGCTTCTGAGTCTGCTTCTGAGTAGCTCTTCAGAGAGGACCTCAGTTTCTCCTTTAACTAAATAGAGAAGAAAAAAAGCAAAACAAACAAACAAAAAAGGGCAATTTTCCATAGGACTGATCTGCTGCTGAAAACTCTCTGTAACATTTGCTAGAACTCCTGGTTTCTGCATTGCTGCAGGCAGAGTGGGCTCTGTAATGGCCTGGCTCAAGGGCCCTCTGGATCTGCATGCCTGCAGCGTGAGGGATGCAGAGGTCTGCTGTGCACAGTGCACTGCTGCACTGTGTCAGCCAAGGTTTAAGTGGCAGAAATAGCAGGTGGAGTTCATCTATTTCACGGTAACTGAGAATAATCACTCCATTGTTCATGGGCTTCCTCCCTCCCCCTTTCCTTTCTTCTTGGAGCAGATGGCATAAAAGAGAAGTTGGTCTGAGAAACAGCATATCTGTAGTGGTGTAAGGATGGAGACTGGGCCTTGAGTATCATAGGCCCTGATTTAACAAGGTATTTACGCATTTGTGCAGCTTAAGTACAAGCAGCCTCCATCATTGACTTCAAAAGAATGACTCACAAGGTTAAATTTATGTACATCATCAAATACCTTGCTGAAATAAGGCCATGGAAAACATCCACTTTTTAAAAAAGCTAGAATGAATTTAATTGAAGACACGCATTTCCTTTCAACATCAGTTTTTTCCCTATTGTACTTCTTTTAATGACCACATAAAGTAACTGAACAATTCTGAGGACTCTGTTTGTATATCCGCAGGAACACATAAAGTATTTTCACAGACACAGAAGTGCAGATGGAGCCTAGGAAAGGGTGTGGAATCTATCGACTGCACAAGATGAAACTGGATTCCTAATGTTCCCGGAGTCAGAAATGATAGCAACAGACCCTAAAGGCTGCCTGTCAATCTCAGATGCAGATGGTACTTCTTCCAACTGGCCTCCGTGTCAGTTCCTTCAGCCATTTTAGTGACAACACGGTTCCCTAGAGGGTAGATCCTGTTGCTTTGCAGCCTGGATTCATACCCAGGGCACTGTGGTCTGTACGATTTCTGCTCAAAGTAGGTTTTTTTAATGCTAATACACTGCCTCTCCTTGCCCTATCCCAGCCCCAACCCCCCATGCAAAAAGAGATGGTCGTTTTCTTCCTCATTTCAAATGTTCTAATTTATCAAAGGAATCATCAATAATTGTATGAAGGATTCACTTTTGTTATGCATGCCAAAAGTAGATATAAAATCCCTGCTAATAAAATTTACAGATGACGCTGTAATTGGCAGCATGATTAATATTGATGACACTGGTATCATACAGAACAGTTTCAGAAGCCAGGCCTGTTCAATCAAAACACATACACATACAACTACATATTAGGTTTTGCTACCTTTGCACAATGCATGCAAGTAACTACGAGAATGCAAGAATGCTATGAAAAGCTGTGACACTGAAAATTATTTAAGGATTAGTGGACCATTGGTTTAATGTAAGCTTCTAGCATGATGCTATAAGCAAAAAGGTCTCATGCCAACTTTAGACAAGCAAGGAAGTAGCAAGCAATATAATGTTCTCCTTATGACACCAGAGAAACTAATTCTAGAATATCTACTTCCTGCATTACCGCCTACATTTAAACAAACAGCCACAAAGTGATTATAAATAGAAATAGAAGTTAAGTGGGGGAAAACTCCAAAACACTTAATAAATACCCCTTCTGTTTTGCTTATTGCCTTTGAGCTTGGGGCATGAGTAACTTAACACGGAATAAAGGTGTGATTAAGGGACAAGTTAACTTAGAGAATTCCTATACAAAACCAAAAGCAATGACTACAAGTTATAGTCAAATTCAACAGTGAAATAAAGCACAATTTCTTCAGCAATTAATCTTTCACACAAGGGGAGCAGGTTTTGCAACTTTGGATATTTTCAGATCAAACCTGAATGTGTTTCTAGATGACAAAATTCAGTCAGATGCAAGAGGCTCAGTACAGAGCCAACTGGAAAAAAAACCACCTACCTATGCAGTTTGTTTTATGTAGAAGGTCACACTCACTGAGCTTAAGGCTTTTTTTGGGCTCAAAATCTATGAGAAGTACAGTTTAAGTCTGAAAAATGTCATTGTGAGGTCAGCCACTTATTGTGCTTCCATGATGTCATGGAAATTTGTTCAGTCTGCAAATTAAAATATATTCTTCCTGGCTGTCAATACCGCAAAATCATCTTAGATTCTGAAAGTCAAATTTGGGTCTTTAGTTGGAGGTATGATTGATGATCTGATCTAAAATGTGTGTTGAAAGTATATATCAGAGAAACATCATTCTCTTCAGATTATGTCCTCATAATGCTATTGTCTGCACAAATGCAAGTAAATGCAGCATTTGGCTCTGTACTTTGAGCTTACTTCACAGGCATCATTCACACCAGGTGAACTGAATTTAAGAGTAGGGAGCAAGCAAAACTTGATTTTTTTTCCTTCAAGAGTACATTTGACTATAAGGATGCTCTGCTGCTCAGTAAGAAACTGCAGTTTTCATGTAGCTGGACTTTGACTGGAGACATATACATCAAGATCAATGTGCTGTGTACTTCACCACAAGATACTGAAATGAAATGAAAGCACTAAACTATGTATTTGACTTACCTAGCACACCTATATGTAGAGTAAAATGTATAAGGTAGTTTCTAGCACTTCTACTTCAGACTATTCAAAGTTGCAGATAAGCTGTCTTGTAAAAGTATTAGCTTAAAACTGGACCACCCAGAACAGATACGTTATTACTGTTCTTTCAACCATAAAAAATTGTGTCTAAATATTAGACACATGATTTTAACCAGATGAGAAATCAGGGCAACACTATAAATTGAGAAGAATAGGAACTGCTTAAATGGTATTAATTCAAAAACTGATCTAGTACCCAAGAAGAAAAAAATTCAACCACCAGGGAAAAAGCCTTCTGGATGCCGATGACATTCTGTCATATTGAGGAAATTTTACAGACTAACCCCAAAAAATTTTCCTATAATCATGTATTCAAAGGTTCTGTCTTAAAGAAAAAAACCACAACCACGTAAAAATAAACCTCACCACATTACATGAAAAGAAACTACTTTCATTTAGTATAGATAATGTTATGGACTTGCCTTTTTTCCCACAGAGGGTTAACATAAGAAGAGGGAAAAAATGGTAAAATATGAAACTTGTTCTTTGGCTTCATCTTTCACATTCCCATATCATACTACAGCAGAAACTAATGAACTTGCTCATCTTCGAAAGCCCTTTTGCATGCTTCTTCCTTCACCTTAACTCTGATCCTCGCGGATCTTCCCTTATGTGTGTGCCAATTTTACTGGTATAAAATGTGCACTTTTATTAGTTGTGTTCTGATGATTTCTACTGAGAGATACTTAAAGCTTATACAAGTCAAAAACTATTTTATCACTTCTGAAGAAAACTAATAGGGCAGAGCCACTGAATGATAAGAAAGACCACTGAATTTATTTAATAATGCATGTCCATTTCACAAAAATGGCCTGTGTAATCCTTTTAAAAATAATAACCTGTTCATTTCAGACCTTGCACAATGCTTCTCTTTGTCCCTTGTAAGTCTCTCAAATGTCTTATTTTAAAGGAATATATAGTACTCCCGGAAGACATTTTCCCATTTCTATTCTCTTCAACTCCTGTGAGCCCTTGTTCTGTGTGATAAGGCAATCTCCTTCGGGATCTGAGCTGTGTAGTTTCGCACCACGAGTGACAAGGACTCAACTTGAATAACTGCTGTGCGCAGGTTGTAATTATGTCAGCTGGAGTGTTGAACAAGGGGACTGATTAATGTGAGCCCCAGCCCAGGCACAGTCCCTATCAAAACCTTCGTGCAGGCCAGCAGTGGGGATGGGTTAAAGCAGAAAGACAAAACATGCTGTATCGTCCATGATAGATGAATTGCTCCAACAGTCTTCAGGCAGATGTTCCAGGACAGTATAATATACAATTACTCTGCCTTATCACCTTCCCAGGGACAATAAAGCTTCCTCCTTCTATAGCTCATGTGAGTGAAGGCAAAATTAGTTTTACTTTTACAACACTGACTCACTTATCATGTTGCCTTGATTGTGCTTTTACAGCTAAAGAAAACACATGTTCCACTCTTAAACTAAAAAAAACAACCAAACGAACAAAAAAACACCACCAAAACCCCTCTGCATTCTTCACCTTTTAAATAAAACCAAACTATTCCTTTGAATCTATTTTGCATCATAGTAACACAGTCCTTAAAGAGCTAATTCAGTTTGCAATTCTAGGGAACATAACTAACTTTAGAACAACTGTACCTATTCATAAGTTGAATGTTATATGTACGTATACGAAATTACATTAGTGAATCAAGTCAGAATGCACAGACAAAAAAAAATACATAGGTTTGATACAAAAGATGCCTATGTGAATAACATGCCTTTAGTGACTGTTTTAACTAAGCACTCACTCTAAAAATGCCACAGTACTCTCGTAGAACAATTCTTTGAGAAGTCATTAACTCATATACCTCTTTAAAGGCCACAAGAGGTTACTGGATAACTATTATAAATAATCCAAGTACTTTCCAAAAAAGTAAACAGAAATTAAGTAAATAATAGAAATTTAGGAAGACAACTATATGTATTTGTTTCCTTTTTGTTATCAGATTGATGCAGTTCTCTATATGTTTCAGGGCCATTTCCAAGAGTTTACAGAACAGCAGCTTGCTAACATGAGGTGAATAGCAAGAGAAGAATATAGCTCATAATATCCTGAAATCCTTCCTTTCTAGATACTGGATAGTTACAGATAAAGAAGCTGTGCTTTAAAGAAGAGACTTGAGTCTAAATAGTTCTACTTGCACTCCAAGATGCATTGCTTTCAGTACTGCCCCTTCTTCAGCTATATAACAATGACATGATCTCAAAAAACAAAACAAAAATAATGCACCCAGAAGTGCATTTAGGGAGACACTTATTTGAAGGTCAGGTTTAAAAACAAAACCACACTAAAAGAGTCAAGGCTGATTTTAATAGCACTTAAGACTGCACACATATTTGAAAAATTCTACTTATAAGCATTTAATTCTCATGAAAGGTATTGGATGACTAGTCCATAAATGAGAGATGAGATTTTCTAAGGAGACGATGGGAATTAGGCACTGACATTACACTTCAATGGAATGCAGGCTCTCAGCTTCTAAAACCTTCTTTGAGGTTTTAGCCACTAAACAGTATCACAGTCCTGGCAACAGTAAGGTTTCACCACAGTAGTACAGGCTTTCCTACACTCTGGTGAAATGTCCTACGTTTACAAAGCAAAAAGTAGCTCCAAAAAAGATGGTATGTTCCCCTTGCACAGCACATCGACCTTAGAGGGTGGCATGACGGAATGACGTTACACCATTCGCTGCACGGAGAAACAACAGAAAAAATGGTCCTGGCCTTGGAAAAATTACAATTCAAGTATTGAGAAGGACATGATAATCAGAAAACAGGCAAAAAGAGTAGTGATAAGTGTGGGAGACAGGGTATCAGTAAAACAGAATAGAAATAAGCTTCTGTTTAGATGCACTGTTGGGCATGGCAGTACTAGAAGGCAACCTAGTCTGTCCTCTATAACCATTCAAATTGCCAATACAATTAGTGGACATAAGAAAGAATTAATATAGGTATCGATATTTGCTTCAATTAGGCATCTACTTTGTCTAAAGAAAGTGTAGATTGCCAATATGAAACATCAGGAGCTCTGCTCTGGATAATGAAACACTGCTGCCCCCAACTTTCTGGAAATTGAGGCATTATTGTAGGAAGTAAAACTCACGAGTTTTAGGCTGCCTTTATCACGAGGAAGACTAATTCTGTTCTCCTCTATCCCAGGAAAGTACTACCTGGAATGAAATATCCTGTATCATCCCATTCTTCTTGAAACTCTGTCATTAGACAGCCAGGAATTGCCAGGAACCAAAAGCAGATCTAATCCCTCCTTTCAGAATTGTTCTTCTGTTTTTAGCTATGTTCCAAACAAACCTTTCCTAGAGAATCCAAACAATAGGCTTCCAAACCCCCGTTCTGTGCACTTTCAGCCGAGAATCCTAAACAATAACTAGAATGAAGTTGCAGACCACACTGCCATTATTAACTAAATGAATCTTGACTCTTCTAATATTCAGGTCTCTAACACATACCCAAGAATACAGGAATAGGGTCCTGTTTGCCTAAGAAGTGGATGAAAAGTCTTGAGGAAAAGATACCCATTTCCCCAGGACAGGGACTTCTGAGCATGCCTCAGTGATTTCATTCAGTTGTGTAAGAACTTGCAAACTCATTGGAGAGGAGAATAAAAAAAAAAACAAAACAGAAAATCCAAAAGAAGTAGATGCTTTTGCATTTATATCTTTTGGCATGATTTAAGGAGATCAGGATCCTCTCTGGAAATTTTGGGTACTTGATCCCACAATTTACTTGCCTAGTTGAAGTTTTTTTACTGTTCAGGATACAAAGTCTTGTGGAAGGTGCTACCAACTTCCCAGCTTTCCATTCTCTCCTATGAAGCAAGTACTTCATGACTGGCAGAGAATCATCGTTTCACTGAGGACATGGAGGTGATGTGATTAACATCAGTGGGGCCAGGACTTTATCCACTGTCTTTGTTTTTGATTTATAGTATCAACCCCATGAGAGTACACACTATCCAGCCAGTGAGAGCTGACTCCCAACTGAGCTATGGAACAGAGATGTTTAGATGGAGAGAGGCTTAGTTATAATCCTTTCTGTTACAGTACTCCTGCCATGCTACTGGTGAACTGAAACTAAAAATGGGCACTTCAGAACAGGAAAAGAAAATAAAGATTCTCCTGATGTTATGTTGTAGACTTCTGAGGGAAAAGAGATCCAAACAAAAGAGAAAGCCAAGAGCAGATGCGGGTGGACAAGAACTCAGGTAAAACAAACAAATGCTGCATTTGCCTTTTAGAATACAGTTCTGCAATCTAGTGCACTAACAGAGCTATCCATTACCCAATACTGTATACTTATCCCTCACCTTGCACAACCACCAGGAAACACACAGCCATTCCAAAAAGCTGCACTTGCCGGCCTTGTTTCGGCTGATTGCCTGACTTGATGTTACTGCATTTAAACACACTGGATAGGACACAGCTGCTTTGCCCTCACAAGGGCTCAGATTTAGGACTTTTCTCTGTAGTCTGACACAGACTTGAAAAAATCTGGTACAAATTCCTTTATCTTTGAAAAATTTCTTCTACTTGAAAGTATTTTTACTACTCTTCAAAATGACTATATTTCAGCATACAAAAATCAATCAGCTAAATACTATATGACTGTGCTATAATTTATTAGTGCTGATCAAAATCTTAAAGACTAGTAATTAAAATTCAAATTAAAATGTGATGAAAGTCACATTTAGTCACCTAAATGAAGAGGTTGAATTTCAAATAGGTACAGAGCCACTGGACACCATGTGAGATGATAATTCGTGGATGCTCAGTATCACTAATAACATGTAAAAGAACTTGGCATTTTTTCAAACTTTGCTTCTTTTTCTCAAGTAAACACATCTGTCTAGACCTATGAATATGTCAGTTCATCAGTGAATGACTTATAGAAAACAGAGAAAGTGCCAAAGGAAGCATTTGTGGAATAATATCTCCATAGTGGGAAGCTTCTTCTTATTCACTGACTGAGAAATGTCAGTGGTCTCAATCTCTTGGGTAAAAATCTCTTCCAAATAATCTCTTTTATGAAGATTAATACAGATATTTGGGTGTGTTCTCTTTATCCTTAAAAAATGCCTTTAAATTTTACCTTTAAAAAGGACCTATCCTGACAACTTGCAACAAACTGTTGATTTGGGACTCAAAACATTGATACATCAGCATTGTACCAACTGAAGCATGAAATCATCCTATGGGTTCCTGCCCTGTTCACTAAATCTCTCAATACAGTAACAGCAGCTCCCGAACAATGTCCCTTCAAGACAATCCCTTTCAAGAAAACATGGCTGTGCTGGGTGGTGAGGCTGGAATTTAAGCGAGAAGAACGCATGTCAGCTGAATTTTGACTGCCTGTTCCTCACTGTTGCTACTTTCTTTGTCCCCCTCTTTCAGGAAACGTGAGCTTAAATTATCTCAGCAATTACTACAGGCTGTCAGTTTTCACTGAAACTGGCCAGCAGCTTAAAAAGTTATAAAAGAAACGGACAAAAGATGAGTGGATGGGCTGGCACAGCTCTTTGCATAAGTTAGGGACATCAGCCTAAAAAACAATTGATGTCAACTTATTTATAAAAACTGCCTTTTTGAATTAAAGATAAATCTTTTTTTCCTGAAACAAAAACAAATTACTAATGGCTTTTTATGTGTAAAAATATCTATAGCAGATATCTCAAAAATTTGCTAATGGAAATGGCTCTCTGTATTTTACCAAGAGCTTGTTAACAAAAAGATGTGGGAAATACCACATTTTTCTAATGAAACATCATCAAAACTTAAGAACTGATTTTAATAATCACAATACCTTCTAAAACTTCAAAATTATTTGAAGTATTGTTTGCCCTGTATATTGTACATGCAAAATTTCAACAGAAATGTTTTGAGGAAGCTCATTATGAGATGGCATTCCATGTGGGATTTCTAGCAGAACAAATTATGTCCTAGACTGCAGTTGTTAGAGAGAATCCATAATCATCTTGAATAAAGATTGAAGGAGCATGCATGGAAGTTACAAATATAAAACAATAAATACCATATTTTAAGGAGTACTAGTAATATCACAATGAACCCAGAGGATGATGTTCAGGCAGTTTATGACATCGCTAGAACTACTTGATGTATTTAGAGGATTTTAACACAAAAAATTTTACAGTACTATGAACTGCAGAGTATCTAGTTTTGTGTGTTTTAAATGATAACATTACTAAAAATATAAAATGATAGCAATGCTGAAAAACATAAAAAGAATAATTATTTAAAAGTACATATATATGTATATGGACCTACATTCTAGGAACCACAGTAAAATGGGCAGTTTGCCTAAGTGGAAGGAAAGCCAAACTAGGACTAGACTAGAGGTCAGCTAGCCTGAGGTCAGAGCAACCTGTAGCTGTGCTACCAGCCCTGGGAACACCAGGGAGATCTAGGCTGGCTTTGAGAGTCAAAAGTCACTTTGCAACCTCCTCTTTACTTTAGGAAGGATAACCAATTTGTTGTCAGGCTATGAACAGAAGCACCTATTCATTATCCCTCCCGTTCCCACTACCTTCCTGTTTCAGTGCATTTACAGAAGGAGGTGGGTAAACATCAAGGAATGTGTCCACTCCAGTCCTCTGACCCATGGGAGTGGGAAAAAGGAGAATAGTGTTGCATCAGTTTGTTTCTCATGGCACACTATATCTCAGCATTCTAACTTGTGAGGGGAAGATGAGGAGTGTTGTACAGACCTCATCCTTTTTCTGAAGACATAAAATGAGAAGAAATTGCTTTGACCCAAGGCATCCAAGAATGCAGAAGAACCTTTTTCATATATATATTTCTCCCCTTAATTATTTTTCCATTATTAAAAGAACACATTTTAAAAGACATTAAAAGACAAAATTCAGGTACATACGGTATGCAACAGGTTAAAGACAAAAGCCAAACAAACAACCCAAATATAAAAGACAAATTTAATGAAAACTACTAAACACCACTTTTAACTTTTTTAATAGCCAGAAAGGAAACCAGAAACTAAAATGCTAACTCACCATCACATGGCACGTGCGAGTATCTTTGAGATTTTTTTTAAATGGTGTTAAAAAAAAAAGAGAGAAGAAATTGTAACACCAGAGCAGCACTCTGTTGCTTATAATAATAAAACTGAGGGCTTTATATGCTGGCTTACATAAAGCAAGTTCCTAAGAAGTCTCAGTTGTATTTTCAGACCAATCTACAGCTGTTATTCAGGCCTAAACAGGCCTAGCAAAACCACAAAGACCATCCCAATCATAGATAAAAGAGCTGTAACAAGCAACTTAATAAGTTACTTGGACAACAGGCTCCTCTCCAGATTGTCTCATGACTTATGAGAATAAAGCACAGTACCATAATGGCCTGTCTTCCCTATGCCATATTTTCCTATGGAGAAGGCATCACCTCCCAGCAGCTCAGGAAAAAGCAACATGCAAACCTTGAGACAAGCTCTCCTTGTTACTGGCCAGCATTAAGCAGCAGCTTTGAACCCATGGGTTATGAAGCAACATCCTGGGAACTCTGAACTCCCAAATCTCTGATACATCTGTCTGAAAAGCAAAGAGCTGAGGTTCTCAGAGATGAGCTTTCAGCCCACATGGGTTCCCCATCACAATGGGGAGATGGTGGCCAGAAGCACCAGCCTTCCAAATCCCAGGTGCTGATTCTGCTCTAGAGCCTCAGTCTCGCCATATTGTATTGTGGCCCCTGGAAAACACCCTCCAGCCACACTGCGGAGGTGCAGGCCTGGGGCATCAAACCCACACTTCCACTACACAAGTAGGGAACCTTGTGGTGATAGCAGAGGCTTTAGCATCTATGTTTCCAAAGTGCCCTGACATACTGTGCCAGAAGAATTTGGGCAGAAGCTGGTACAGAGACAAGGACAACTCTGCTGGAATGTGCAAGCAATTTTATTTAGCTTCAGTAAATCAGGAGTTTCTAACAAATATTTATTTGGAAAACTGCTCACAATTTCTAATGCATTCAAAGTATCTAAGTAACAAGTTTTTCTCAAACACAAAAGCTCTTTCTTTTCTCTTCTTTCTTCCTTCTTTCACTCTCTATCCAGCAATTCTTTTCTCTCTCTCATTTTCATCAACCTTTAAATGGAAAAAACCTTTCCCTTTCTCTCCCTCACAGTAGACTACACTGCTTTCTGGAACCACTCCAAAACAGAATTTTCTTTCTGTCCCTTCCCCAGACTTTAATCTGTTTTGTATGTCACATATGAAGGAGGAAGAGGGAAGGTTGTCACAAAGACAGCATTAATATAGAACCTTTTTTTATATGGTAGTAGCCGTATGGCCTGGAGAATAAACCCCATACAACACAACAGACTCATGTCTATCAATTTAATTTTGGAGGTCTGTAACACCACCAAAATATTTTCAGATTGCTAACTAGCTGCCATGTACTTAGCTGGTAGTTAGCAATAATAATAATTCCTTGCAGATTTTACCACACCCAAAGATAGCTTTGGCCCTTTTATAATGACTGTATTGGGGATTAAGGAATGGTAAAGGAAATAAACAAATCAATTTATTTATTCTCTGCTAACAGGCAAGAGCAAAGAAAACATATATAGTTTATTTAGCCTTTTTTAAAACATGTTTTACCTAAAAGGATCACTATGATGCCAATGACTATTTTTAGAACAAACTAATCTAACAAATGAAAGTTTATTTTTAGATATAAACCAAGATCTTCACTGTCCTTTTGTTTTAGAAGCACTGTAAGAACAGGAAATTACAAGTCTTTTTGCTACTTCAAGCTGTATTAAGACCATAGCCTTGCCATTCATCTTGAGGTTAGTACTAAGACTTTATTTAATATCAAAATACAACTTACTAAATATTGTTTTAGTTTAAAATATATGCTCGTGTTCCAGACTGATAAACATTAATTAACTATATATTAGAAATAAATAAAATGTATTTATGATAAGATATTTACGCTTCTTAAGAAAGAGGAATAGATAAGACAGCGATGATTACATATGATAGGAAAAAAGAAGTGTGAGGACAGCGAGAAGATAAAATGTGATAAAAAGAAGACATTAGTTACATTAATCTGTCCACTGCATGAATTGGCCTTATCCATATTTCCTAGACACCAAATACTTCAGGTTCTGGGTTAAGTGTGTTGCACACTGATTCAAAAAAAAAAAGAGCATCAGTACAGCAGGGAAGAGGTT